ACTTTGGAAAAATAGTGTGGAATATATACTAAAAGCTGTATGACTATCATATCTTTTATCTCAGCAAATGTGCAATTGGGAATAATCAGAGACCTGTGCAAAGATATCTCCATAAAGATGTTCATTGCTGTTCTAGTTGCAATATTGATAAATATGCTGATATCCAGAAAATTGGCACCAATATAACCATGTGTGTATGTGTGCACACATGCTAAGTTGCTTCAGTCATGTGTGACTCTTTTACACCCCTAGGGACTGTAGCCCCAGGCTCCTCTGTCCATGGGATTCTCCAGGCAAGAATACTGGACCCAGGGATCTAACCTGTGTGTCTTATGTCTCCTTCACTGGCAGGTGGATTCTTTACCACCAGCGCCACCCAGATGTTTATACTGGGACTTCCCTGGTAGCTCAGACAGTAAAGAATCTGCCTGCAATGCAGGACACCTGGGTTTGATCCCTGGGTCAGGAAGATACCCTGGAGAAGGGAATGGCAACCCACTCCAGTATTCTTGCCTGGAGAATTCCATGCACAGACCATGGGGTCGCAAAGAGTTGGACGTGTCTGAGCAACTAACACTGACGCTGAATCTTTTCCTTCCTGAGCGCCAGCTAGGAAGCCTTACTATAACCGTAAAAGTAAAAAGTGTTGGGCACTCAGCCACATCCAATTCTTTGCGACTACATGGACTGTTGCCTGCCAGGCTCCTTGTCCCTGGAATTCTCCAGGCAAGGAGACTAGAGTGAGTAGCCATTCCCTTCTCCAGGGGATCTTCCTGACTCAGGGACTGGACTTGGGTCTCCGGCACTGCAGGCAGATTTGTTATCACCCAAGCCACCAGAGAAGTCCCAATATAACCATATGTGTTGTTAAAATTCTAAAAATCTTCTGTTGTGATTGATAAAGATATGCTGTTTGCAGCACCGCGCGCCACCCCCCCTCCCAAATAAGTCCCCCTGCACTGCCTGCCTCCTGATTTCTCCTGCTCAAGATCCTGTCTATTTCAACACTAAACTCAAGTTCATGCCTGGCAGTCTGAAGCCTCCAGAACTGGCTGCTCATTTTGACTGGTCAGTCCATGCCTGCTGGCTGTGCAATGCCTTCTATGTATATTGCAATATAAACCTTGGAAATACTGTGAAAGTTCAACAATAGGGATTTGTCAAGAGAATTATAATACTGGTAGATTATGGTGGTTTAGGGATGAAGCACAAGTTGGAATCAAGATTGCCAGAAGAAATATCAATAACCTCAGATATGCAGATGACACCACCCTTATGGCAGACAGTGAAGAAGAACTAAAGAGCCTCTTGATGAAAGTGAAAAGTGAGAGTGAAAAAGTTGACTTAAAGCTCAACATTCAGAAAACGAAAATCCTGGCATCTGATCCCATCACTTCATGGCAAATAGATGGGGAAACAATGGAAACAGTGGCTGACTTTATTTTTGGGGGCTCCAGAATCACTGCAGAAGGTGACTGCAGCTATTAAATTAAAAGACGCTTGCTCCTGGTAACCTAGGAGCAACCTAGATAGCATATTAAAAAGCAGAGACATTACTTTGCCAATAAGGGTCCGTCTAGTCAAGGTTATGGTTTTTCCAGTGGTCATGTGTGGATGTGAGAGTTGGACTATAAAGACAACCGAGTGCTGAAAAATTGATGCTTTTGAACTGTGGTGTTGGCGAAGACTCTTGAGAGTCCCTTGGACTACAAGGAGATCCAACCAGTCCATCCTAAAGGAGATCAGTCCTGGGTGTTCATTGGAAGGACTGATGCTGAAGCTGAAACTCCAATACTTTGGCTACCTGATGCGAAGAGCTGACTCATTTGAAAAGACCCTGATACTGGGAAAGATTGAAGGCAGGAGAAGGGGATGACAGAGGATGAGTTGGTTGGATGGCATCACCGACTCAATGGAGAGGAGTTTGAGCAGACTCCGGGAGTTGGTGATGGACAGGGAGGCCTGGTGTGCTGCGATTCATGGGGTCGTGAAGAGTCAGACACAACTGAGCAACTGAACTGAACTGATGGTGGTTTAAGGGATGCTGAAAATGGGGGAAGATACACATGTGTGGGGGCAAGGGGTATATGGGAAATCTCTGTACCTTCCACTCAATTTTTCTCTGACTCTAAAAATAAAGTCTATTACTAAAAAATTAAAGTTTGAAGATACATGATACCATTGTAAAATATCTTGAATATACTACCAAGTGGGGAAAGAAACAGTATACAAAACAGTATTGTTGTTATTGTTCAGTTGCTAAGTCATGTCCAACTCTTTGAGACCCCATGGATTGCAGCATGCTAGGCTTCCCCATTCTTTACTATCTCCTGGAGTTTGCTCAAACTCTTGTCCATTGAGTCAGTGATGCCATCTAATCATCTCATCCTCTGTCACCCCCTACTCTTCCTGCCCTCAATCTTTCCCAGCCTCAAGGTCTTTCCCAATGAGTTGGTTCTTTGCATCAGGTAGTCAAAGTATTGGAGCTTCAGCTTCACCATCAGTCCTTCTGATGAATATTCAGGGTTTATTTCCTTTAGGATTGACTGGTTTGATCGCCTTGCTGCCCAAGGGACTTTCAGGAGTCTTCTCCAACATCACAGTTCAAAAGCATCAATTCTTTGGGGCTCAGTCTTCTTTATGGTCCAACTCTCGAGTCTGTACATTACTACTGGAAAAACCATAGCTTTGACTATGCGGACTTTTGTTGGCAAAGTGATATCTCTTCTTTAAATATGCTGCTTCGGTTTGTCATAGGTTTTCTTCCAAGGAGCAAGTGTCTTTTAATTTGATGGCTGCAGTCACTGTCTGCAGTGATTTTGGAGCCCAAGAAAAACAATACAGTATACCCAATATAATCCCATTAGAAACATTTTGTGTTGGCCAAAAAGTTCGTTTGAATCTTTCTGTAACACCTTATGGAAAAACCTAAGCGAACTCCTTGGCCAATCCAATATTTATTCATACTGAGTCACAGAAAAAGTCTAAAACGAAATAAAAAATGTCAACAATGATTATATCCAAATGATTTGATTATACTTGATTTTTGTGATTTTGTTTGTTGCTTATCTGCATTTTTCAACACTTTTGCCATGAGCCTGACAACTTTCAGAATTAGAAAAAAAAAATATCATTTTAAAAGCAAAGTGAAACTAAAGTTACTTAGCTTGGAAAGGGTAATCTTTCCTCTTGATTCATACATTTGCTGTACTTGCTGGGAAACAGCTCCCTAGGGAGTGAGCCAAAGAGTAAGCCAAGAAGGCTGACTGAAGTTCAGCGAAAACATCTGTAAGGAGGGAAGCTGGTGGGGAGGGGCAGAGAGGGCAAGAAACCAGCAAACATCCAGGCTCCTTTCACTTTTCCTACCTCTCTTTGTTCAGGCAGCTCATTTCGGTGAGCACAGGCATTTCTGAAATTCTGCAATGGGGGAGAGCTGCAGGGGCAGCCTTGCTGTTCTTTCATGTCTGAGCATACGTGACTGCTTTTCAGGGAATACGTACAAGCAAATGTTCCCTTCTCTAGCTGGGCTTTAATCCAAGGTATAGATTTACAGAGTTGGGTACACAGCCACTAAAATAACACTCATATTCCCCAACACAGGATGGGGCAGCCACTTTTATCTCAGTAGGCTCTGGTTAGAATAGTCTTTTCATAATGACAAACCTTTAAACAAGAGATGGCAGACCCAAATTACCTTTAAGAATTTGGCCCACATTTGAAAGGCTGTCATGGCACATGCTTTCTCAGGCAGCCAGCTGTTGTTGGAGGTACTCCAAGGCCAACAATATCCTATGGTATGATGGATACTCAACTCCAGAATCCCATCTGATTGGAAACTTGGGGCCAATCAACAGGTACACTTCTCCTTGGACGTGAAAGTTTGACATACCCATGGAGAATTCATGAAGACTGGTCTGCAGGCTCTAATGCTCTTGAGATTGCTGGCATCAAACAGAACTCCAAGGACTTCCCTGGTGATCCAGTGGTTAAGAATCCACCTTCCAATGTGGGGGACTCGGGTTCTATCCTTGTTTGGGGAACTAAGATCCCACTTGCCTCGGGGCAACTAAGTCTGCACGCTACAACTACTGAGTCCACGACAGCACAACCAAATAGAAGCCGACATGTTGCAACTAACATTGACACAGCCAAATAAGTATGTGGTTTTTAAAAAAATCACCTTAAAAAAAAACAGAACTCTAGGACCATGGACTTCATAAGACATATTTTACAACCGTGGGCTTAGGAGGAAAATTTCAGTTCCAAGAGTAGATAGTTCCTTACATGATATGATGTCAGAGATGTGCCTTCTTTATCCTCATTTCCTTTAGTATCCATCCTCCCACTCTGTAATCCTTTTGTTTAAGTTTTATTCTATATAATGAAAGAACTGAATTTACAACAGCATAAATATCTCTGAAACAGGTATTAATATATCATATCAACTGCATGCATGCATGCTAATTCGCTTCAGTCATGTCCGACTCTTTGCAACCCCATGGACTGTAGCCGGACAGGCTCCTCTGTCCGTGGGATTCTCCAGGCAAGAATGTTGGAGTGGGTTGCCATGCCCTCCTCCAGGGGATCTTCCTGATAGAGGGATCAAACGCCCATCTCTTATGTCTCCTGCATTGGCAGGATGTTTCTTTATCACTAGAGCCACCTGAGAAACCCATCATATCAACTATGACCTCTTCAAATGTAATGGAATTATTGTATCCAATTCCAGTCAGTTCAAATACGTTCCCTGTAAAGAGTAATAGATGTCAGCTGACATTAACAGTAGGGAAGGAAGGGATTCTATTAAGGACTTCGCCTTAGGAAAGCGGGTCCAGAGGGGTTCTAGAAGAGAAGACCAAGAGTGAATGAAGGTACTTGTGGGAGAGGTGGCTGGGGAACTAAGAATATGTACTGTTGGTCCTCATTATTCAAGATGCCGTATTTACAAACTGACCTACTTGCTAAAGTTTATTTGTAAATTTCAAAATCAACACTCTTGTCACACTTGCTGTCATCTGTGGACTCATAAAGAGCAATACAAATTTTGAGTCCTGACCACACATTCCCAGCTGACAAGGTGACGCACTGCCTTCCTGTTTCAGCTCTGATACCATAAGCAACATCCTTTGGGAAACCATAGTTTTCACATTTTGGTGTTTTTTGTTGATTTCACTGTTTAAAACAGCCCCTAAGCAGAATACTCTAGCGTTGTCTAGTGGTCCTTTGCACAAGAAGGCTGTGTTGTACCCTACAGGAAAAAAGAAAAAAACCACATTAGATAAGCTTCAGTCAGACATGAGTTACAGTGCTGTTGGTCAGCGTTTCAATATTAATGAGTCTTAATATATATTAAATATGGTGTCTTTAAACAGAAACACTCATAAAATGAGGTCATGTAACGTCAGTCCATGACAAACTTGTGACCAGAGGCTTGAAGAAGTCTAGCCCAGCACTCGCTCTTGGAGCAGCTGCTCACTATTTACTAATTCAGAGTGTTCACAGAAACTCCACAGAATGTAACTACAGTAAATAACAAGACCTGCCTGGAATCTGACATTTTGGAAGGAGAAAAAATGTCATCTAATAAATAACTGTCTGTAGCAATAAAATAAATGACACATGTTTATATCTTTCTGTTTTTCTCTTGAGAAAAGAGAAATGAGAGCCTCGGTATCGCAGTTTGTAAAGTTTATCAAAGCCTGGAATTCCTTGGACTATACACTGTCTCATGTGCTTAGACACTCAGTCGTGTCCGGCTCTTTGCAACCCCGTGGATTGTAGCCCACCAGGCTCCTTTGTCCATGGGGATTCTCCAGGCCAGAATACTGGAGTGGGTTGCCATGCCCTCCTCCAGGGGATCTTCCCAATCCAGGGATCGAACCCAGGTCTCCCGCATTGCAGGTGGATTCTTTACCATCTGAGCCTCATAAGGATCCTAAAATTCTTCTTTCACTTCCTGCAAGGAGTCACCTGGTACAGAAATTCTCCCTTGAGAGAATAACCTCGTTCTCTGACGCACCCTTGTGGTATTCACTGTGCCAAGCCAGCAGTAAAACAAGGGTAAGAAGCTTCTCCCTAGAAAGATTCAGAGCATTTAACTTCAATATTTGCTTGTAATTTTCATTATTATTTAATAAGACAGGCTAGTTTGCCTGGAATGCCATTTCTGAATACCTATAGCAATGATCCCTCATTATTTCTAACATTTCTGTAATTAAGGAATTCTCTGCTGCAGCTTTAGATACAGATTTAAAGTGCCATCCTCTCTATGAGGACTCTAGATGCTATTAATGATTTATCACGATTCTTGGAAATCCTGAAATGTGAACTCCCACGAGACCCCTGGGTGGGGGAGGGGTGGATCAATGCAAAATGACACCCATATCCATCACACACTTTATACCGAAGTGACAGTCCTAGACTTAGCAGTGTCAGATTCTAACAAACTTATCTTAAAGGGAAAAAGAAGCCTCAGCTAACAGATAACATCCGCTTATGATGAGCCCACAAGTGGTTCAGTGAAAACTGGGCAACAGAAGAAGAGAGGGTGGGTCAAGCAGCCCCAAGTGTCAGACACACAGCCCCATCTGCAGAGATCGGGGCCTGGGAGGTGGGGAATGCAGGGGGGTGGCCGATGCTGAGGCATGAGGTGCTTGTCTTGCACTCAAGGAAGGGATAAGAAGGCCTGAGTCAGGAGTGGAGAGTCAGCAGCCTTGAGGGAAATATGCTTAGGTGACCAGGTGCGACCCTCAGGACAGAACTGGCTGAGGCTATGGGGGGACATGACCTGCATGGTTTCTCTCCTGAAAGGATGGCGCTGAGTCCTGGAAGCACTGCGTCCCTGCATGTGGTCCATGGAATTCCTTCCTGCTGGAGCTGAAGAGATTACCTGACAAGGCTGGAGTAGGAGCCAGGAGCTAAATCTGGCATATACACAGACAACAGGAGAGACAGAAGGGCAGAAGGTGGAGCCAGTGGCTCTGGTTTGGAAACTCCTATAGGAATGGCTAGAGATTGAGACCCAGATAGCCAGGCAGTCTTCAAGCCAACTGGGTCATTCCCTTCTTTTGCTTTGAGGATAAGACTGCCTTTTTGAGAGGCTGTGGTTCTACTGTAGAACAGATAGAAATATGTAGCCAGAGAAATGGAATTACAATGTGCAAAGAGGGGAGTGAGATATACATGTGTTACCAGTAGATTACTCAGTGGGTTTATATCAGGGGTTTAACTTTCCCCCCTTTTCAGAGGACCAGATAAAAACTAATTCTGTTTTAATTCTCTGGTGTTATATTTAACTCAATCAAAGGCACAATAGATATTTAAACCAAATCTGCAGGAAAAAGTGTCCAGGAAGGCGAAGCAAGCAGAGGAGCCTCATTATTCCCTTTTGTCAGGCTTTTAATCCAAGCCCAGGAAGTAGTTTCCAGTTGTCTTCCTGGTTTTCAGAGAAACAGAAGCAACAGTATATACATGTGTATATTCTGTATGTACTAAGTTATACCACTGGTTTTCTTGGGGCTCCAGCTTGCAAATGGCAGCTTTTGGGGCTTCTTATCATCTATAATTTCAATTCCTCAAAATGAATCTCGGGCTGCAAATTAGAGCCCCAGGAAACCAGTGGTGTAATTCAGTCTGAGTCCAAAGGCCTGAGAACTAAGGGAGTCGACAGCTTAAATGTAAGTCCAAGGGTAAGAGATAATGTATCCAATGAGTCAGGAAAAGAGAGGGAGCGAACTCCTGCTTCTTTTTGCCTTTTGCTCTGTTCCCATCCTCAAAGGACTGGATGATGCTCAGTTACACTGAGGATGGCCACCTACTATATTGGACTCCCCTGGTGGTTCAGTGGTAAAGAATCTACCTGCCGATGCAGGAGACATGGGTTCAATCCCTGGGTCAGGAAGATCACCTGGAGAAGAAAACGGCAACCCGCTCCATTATTCTTGCTTGGGAAGCCCCATGGACAGAGGAGCCCAGTGGACTTCGGTCCCTGGGGTCTGTAAGAGTTGGACACGACTTAGTGACTAAACAACAACAACCTACTTTATTAAATCCACTAATTCAGGTACTAATCTCAGCTGGAAATGCCTTTCCAGACACACCAAGAAATATTTAATCTGGGGACACCATGGCCGGTCCAGATGACACACAACATTGCCCACTACACCTGTATTATTCACAATTAATTTCAATAACTCATTTTTTGTAGAAGAGTTATTTGTAATTGAAAAGTTTGTCAGCTTGTTTTGTTCATTATTTTCTCAGAAGTATACTCCAGATGATGGACTATTTTGTCCCTTACACACAGATATCTAAAATGTAAAATGTTTGTGTATCCAAATATTGTTTATACAAAAGACCAAAGCAAAGTATCTGGTTTATATAGAGTAGTTCAAACAAACAAGCATCTTTAAGACATCTGTGGTGGGACTTCCCTGACAGTCCAGTGGTTAAAACTTTGCCTTCCAATGCAGAGAGAAGTGAAGTCACTCAATCGTGTCTGACTCTTTGCAACTCCATGGACTGTATGGCCTACCAGGCTCCTCTGTCCATGGGATTTTTCAGGCAAGGGTACTGAAGTGGGTTGCCGTTTCCTTCTCCAGGGGATCTTCCCAGCCCAGGGATCAAATATGGGTCTTCCACATTGCAGGCAGACGCTTTACCATCTGAGCCACCAGAGAAGCTTTCTAATGCAGAGGGTGTGGGTTCTAGCCCTGTTGAGGGAGCTAAGAGCCCACATGCTTCACAGTCAAAAAACCAAAGCATAAATCAGAAGCAATGCTGTAACAAATTCAATGAAGACTTTAAAAAATGATCCACATCAAAAAAATCTTTAAAAAAAGACATTAATGGTATTTCTAGTAACTCAAGAATTATACCCTGCTCTTGATCATGGGAGCGGGGTGGAGGTGATGTGATCTGTAACAAAATGGTCTTCAGGTTATCCAGGCTCAGAATAGACTTCAGGAGAAAGTGGCTTTAGGTCAAGTAATACAGTTTTCTGACCTATGCAAAACCTGTAGAGTGGCCGGGATTGGGATAGCCTTACAGCCAACATATAGTCAAGTCTGCAGTAGACAGAAAATCCCCCCACCTTGCCTTCTCTCTCCTCTTTCAAATCCCCTTAGTCCTTTTAACCCTTTGAATCTGATGTTGATAACTTTACTCTTCTCTCCTTATTAGCACAACTGTTAGATGAAGCTATGGAGGAGGAGATTGAAAGGATTTGCATCCAGTGGTTGGAGGGTGGAGGATGTTAGCATGACCTCAGGGTGAATTATCAAAAAGACCTTTCTCAGTGCAAGTTTTCACTTCCAGATTATTCTGCTTAAAGATAACTTCTTCACTACCCCACCTTGAATTATTAATACATTATGAACAGTTCCCTTATTTACTTTAATTTAGGACTTGGCGAATAAAAATAGGGAGAGAGGATTAAAACAATTTAATCACAGGGGTCCCAGAGCGTGGCTGAGAACCTTTGCCTAGGTCCTTAATACCAACTTGTCTTGTGGCCCACATTTGAGTTTTGTCATTCTGACACAAAGCAGAGAAAAACACTGATTTCAGGTCAATTCTTGTTTTTACTGATTTGTTTTTGCTTTAAACAATGGGGAGAAAAACAGAAAGAAAAATGGTATGAAGTTCAGTATGGCCATTCTTTCCATACCAAGGAGTAGTATTCTACTAAACTGAGTCTGCCAACTTGGGAGAACAAAGGGAGAAGACTTAACCTATTCATTGTGCAACAGACCCAGAGGGCCTTGTGTTCTTGATTTATATCTGTATAATCATTAATTCTGACAACTTTATAGGGTAGTTGATGTCATTCTCATTTTACCAGTGAGTAACATGTTTGAACTGTGATGTTGGAGAAGACTCTTGAGAGTCCCTTGGACTGCAAGGAGATCCAACCAGTCCATCCTAAAGGAGATCAGTACTGGGTGTTCATTGGAAGGACTGATGCTGAACCTGAAACTCCAATACTTTGGCCACCTCATGCGAAGAGTTTACTCACTGGAAAAGACCCTGATGTTGGGAGGGACTGGGGGTGGGAGGAGAAGGGGATGACAGAGGATGAGATAGCTGGATGGCATCACTGACTCGATGGGCGTGAGTTTGAGTAAACTCTGGGAGTTGGTGATGGACGGGGAGGCCTGGCGTGCTGCGATTGATGGGGTCGCAAAGAGTCAGACATGACTGAGTGACTGAACTGAACTGAACATGTTCTGAAAGATAAATGACTTGCTCAAGGTCCTACTCTAGTGTGTGGCAAAGCAGGAGTTTAAGCCTAAATCTCTTTAAACTGGAAAGCTAATGCTTTCCCCTCTTGTTTCCAAAAGTGTTTATTTCTTGAGCATCTGACATGTACCAGGTACTGTGCCAGGTACCATGGAGAATATAAGAATGAATAAATATACAATCCTATCCCCACAGAGCTCACAGGCCCTGGGAACTGGTGCACACAGATGCACTGTGTTAGCTGAAGAGTAACATGTGGCCACAGAGGAGAGGCATCTGGCTGTCTTTAGGGCTCAGAAGCATCGATCCAGAGAAAATATATCCACAGGAGCTTTAAAATGTGCTTCTCGAATTTGAATGTAAATACAAATCATTCTAGGATCTTGTTACAGTATAGATTCTGACTCAACAGGACTGGCGTGAGGCCTGAGATTCTGCATTTTTAAGAAGCACCCAGGAGAGTCTGAAGTGGCTAGTCCATAGACCCCACTTCTTTGTGGTAAGCTTCTAAAAGGCAGGTAAGGGTTTGCCAGGTGAGAACTTTCCCAGTAAAGATGCAGAGTGTGCAAAAACTCAGGGAGAAAATGAATAAGATCAGATGCAGGGAACTGCTGTTGATCCAGTAAGCCTGGATTGTGAGCATCAAGTGTGAAGCAGCCTGCCATGAGGCTGGAGGTGACAGCAAAGGAGTCAACTGGAAACGCACTGTGTGGCCCTGGAAGGTCATAAAGAGCCATGTCTAATTCTGAGGACAGTGAGATGCCATTGTTTTTCACTGATGAGTTCCTTTCTTGGATTTGAGCTTTCCAAAAAGCAAACTGCCTGTGGTGTGGAAG